GATTTTCTTTCAATGTGGATAGTTTTATGGACTAGGCTCTCGTCCAAAATTTTTTTAGTTCAGCTTTGGGTGCTCAGCCAATATATTTGCTCTGGTTTTTATCATAAAAGAGCTTTCAAGCCTTTTCGAAATTTCGCCAAAACGCCAAGTGCTCTATCCCTTATTTCATCTGGGTTTGCAACTTGCCTGAACTATCCGCTGTCTCAGCTTTAGTTGTTTACCATGCATTTTTTTAGGTAAATCTCTTAGGAACCTTCAACACTACACGTTACGCTGCCAAGCTCATGTCTCAGAATATACTCCCACAGAAAAATCTTCAGTCTCCATCTAAGCCAGAAGTCGTTGGTGATGCATATGAAAATAATTTTCTAGACTCAGAATCTATCTGGCATGATCCCACGTTGCGAGGTGTCATCATAAATACTTCAAGCGTGTCTGCTTTTGATGGCCAAATCAGTCAGACTGCGTATGCAGCCAGTAAAGGAGCGGTGGCATCTATGACCCTTCCTTTGGCACGAGAGTTTGCTGAATTCGGCATCAGAGTTGTTGCTATTGCACCAGGTATGTGAAAATTATTTAACAAATATATCACGGATATGGTGGACAAGATGTTGTGGCCTTAGGTATGGTTTCAGTATCACCTAGATGCATGCTTTTTGCATGGAGACTGTAAAACATACCTAGTCTTGTATCCTCTGCCAGTTCAGTGGTCTGATATTGGAAAGTTTATTTTTACTGTAATGGAAAGTATGTTTCACCAGGTCTCCTTGTCGCTGCTACTAAGTTGCCGCGACATGGTCAAGCAAACATTAAAAACTGATCACATTAAAACCATATATACATATCACACTTTTTTGATACTTTTAAAAGTAAGCATAACGACTGATAATGTAGTGATTTCATCTTTAGATTACAAAACCTGATATAATTGAAACCTCGTTATAGATTAGTACATCACACAATCGCTTTTAGACATTTGGCATTTTTAGGTAATTTCCTTGTTTATACACTGCAACTGATTTTCACTCAAATTATAATTACATTTTTTGGAGAAACCCCTACCCTCAATTTTGCCAATTAAAATGATTGGCTAACGGGAACCTAATTCATTTGATATGTTACTTTTTAAGGAAAATGCTTTATGCAAGTCCTATTGATCTTACTGCGCTTCACTAATTACTAGTTTGAATTTCATATGCTTCTGGCCATGGTAATGTTCCAGTACACATAGTAGTTTTCTCATTATAGCTGATACATAAGACATGGCTGGGGAAACATAGTTTTTTAATTTTCATGTCACATGAGTCTGTAGAGCCAGTGGAAGCTGAAATATGTCTAGGTCTCGGTAATTGCTACCCTTCCTTTTTATTATCCAGTAAAAATGGATCCAAGAGTAACTAATTTAACTTTTTGATAAGCATTGCAAGCCTTTTCTAATGTCTTTAATAATAACTGATCCTTGAACT